TTTGGATCAATTCCAAATTTTATTGCAATTAATGGGGTATATTGATGCAGAATTACCATTCCAGCCCCTGTCTTTCGGCAAGTGACAGTTTCTGCCCTATATTCAGAAAAGTTTACAAATTTGACGGCTGGTGAACAGTTTTGAATTCTTTAACGCTCATATTTTTTCGTGAACAGAAAAATAAAGATTCCATCAAGTCTGGGCGGTTCGGAAAGTCGTTTTTCGTGATAACGTCAAATTTTCATGGCTTTTTCGGATTTTATACTTCATCGTTAATATCATTTTGTCACGGGGGAGCTTAGTAAATTTTTACCCATTCAAGATCATTCTCATGACCATATGAAGGCTTTATAATCATGTTTTTGATTATAAATCGGGGGGAGAATTTGGTATGGCGATTCGAAATTGGATTGGTGACTTTTCAAAGTTGAAGATTTTTTATAAAGCTTGTGGTAGAATTATGAAGGTAGCTTTTACAGCAGAAGTTCTTCATCGAGCTCTGCTAAAGCTTTTACAGAGAAGTATCCTTTACAGTGGAAGTTTTTCATCGAGCTCTGCTAAGGACTTGTTATATCTCCGACTTCTTGTATTTTCTCGATCAAGTGGCATTACGAATCTTAAAGTTTGGGTTGTTACATGATATTTTTTGATGGCTTATATCATTAGCTTATTTGAAGATCATTGTGACTTGGAGGGGGAGCTCTTCAAAGAAAAGAAGTGATTCAATTTCTTTGTTCTGAAATGGGTTTTTATGGCGGGTTTGGTTTTCATGAAGATTCTTTGGGATTACATTCGAAAATGAAGTTTAAAGACATTACTTCAGTGCTTGATTTATATATCCTAGAGCCTGTGTTTGAAGACTATTGAAGAATCAAGATTCGTGGATTGCTTCATATATTCCTCGTTGCGGATCTTTTTTTTATTTGCTAGATGCTTGTTTTGGAAGTTAAAGCATTGTCATCCATTCCATGCTTTGAGGGGGAGATTGTAGGGTTTCAAAGCACTCCATGGATGATGGCAATGGGCCCCTTTGATGAAATCTAGGTTAAAAGCCCAAGACTTGTCTTTTCCCTATAAATAGTCATGTATTATTCACAATTAGGGTTAAGAGAGTGAGGCAAAATGTAGCCGCCACGTTGTGAGGTTTCTTGTAGAGTTAGATTCATATTTTTTAAGTGTAATTTGTTCCTCACAATTCAATAAATCGAGTGATCATTCGACATAATCTTCATATTTGTGTTTGTTCTTATTTTCCGCATCTTGTTCATCAAATCTCAATTAGGGTTTTAATCCTAATAGTATGTCCTTAATTTTGGTATTGATACGACGATTGGGGAATCCCGATAAAGTATGTATGTAGAAGGTTATTTTCTTGCTTTCTTTCTATTAGTCATATGTTGGAAGATTGACCTGGACTACAAAATATGCAACTCTACTTCTATGCATCTTCTTATCTATGGAAATTCTTTCGGTCTGTTAGTCATATGTTGTCTCCTTTGCGTGATAAGTCCTTATCCGACCTGGAACACAACATATGCATCATTCTACTTCTCAATCCCTTTATGCAGTTACTCGTATGTTTATCCCTCTACGTGATTGGAAAATCCGGCATGGGTATACAACATATCCATTCTAAATCTGACTTCCCTCTTAATAATTGCTTGCTCACCTAAATTAAGGATTATTTTGTAACTTCTTAATTATCGGAGGATGTCAAGAAGTGGGAAACACATTCTAGTACACCTAAAATTAAACATTCAATAGGTTGTCTGTAGATCTCGCTGCTAAATTTAGGTGGATAACAATATTTGTGGTTGTCGATAACTAAATGGTCTTCTAGGAATTTTATTTAGGATCATAGGGTCAAATACCTTGTGACTTGTATTATGACTTCATCTGTCACAATTTTTTGTGCTTAAGTGGACCATAATACCGACGATTTACCAGATCTAGTCATGAAGGTGAAGGTACTGAAAAATGGATTAAGATTGTCCTTAAACTTTGATCCCAACATCACAAAAGAAATTTTTGCAAATGGTGAAAAAGGATATTTGTGTGGTGTTATCTTATTTTTATTTTATTTTATTTTATTTTTCTAAAAATTAAAAAATTAAAAATTTAGTCAAAATTAGTTTAGTTTAAATTATTTTTATTTTATTTTATTTTAATTTAAATTTTAAAGTCTTCAAAATGTTATATTTTTAAAAAAGTTGAAGTATTGGGCTCTGATTTTAATGTTTTTGGGTGTGTGGTTCATGGGCTTTGAACCGGGTTTTTTAGTCCATTTATAAATAAGGAAGACTCAAGGCTGTGAACCCTTTCACACTCATTTGTTGATCATGGTTGTGAACCTTCATCAGACTCTCTCTCTCTCTCTCTCTCTCTCTCTCTCTCTCTCCCTCCTTGATTCTCGATTTGTCATCTTATCTTGTGTTTAATCCGAAATTGATTGTTGCACTTTGTAGGTATATCAAAAACAATCACATTCATGCTAAATTTAACGGGAATCGACCATATTTAGTGGGTTTGTTAAAGGAAAATTGATTTTGGCATCAGTTGAACCGTTCACGACCGTTGATGTGTACACGGCCTATGAAGCGTTCATGTCCGTGAACCTATTTGCGGTCGTGAACCCCAGTTTGGACATAACTCAATTTTTTTCCTTTGATTCAATCAAAATTTAAGCCTAAACTAACTGTTAAATAAGAAAAATTGTCTTTTAATGTTTTAAATCTCTTGTTTTCTCACTTGGCTCGGTTGGAGCAGGTCAACAATGGCTGATATGAAGTTTGCAGACATCCATAACCTTTCCATCTTTTTGCTTGATCCACCAGAGGCACATAGTGACTTTAAGTGTGTGGTTCATGGAGTAAAGAGATCTTGCCTTGCTTTTGCACTATCATAAAGTCTAGTCATTTACTAAGGACTGATAAAGGAGTTCTGGAGCAAAATTGTTATGATCAGACGAGAATATGATGAAGTCTCCATAGAATCAAACGTCCATGGAAAGAAGAA